TCCGCACTGGCGTGGCCAGAATGGAAGTCTTCCGTGTGCATCCATCTTTATTTGAAGAGGCGGTAAATGTGGCATTGATTGCCGAATTTAATCTCAAGTCGGTACGACTTGGTTGGAATGCACACTCCAACAGCTCGTCGAGCCGGCCTGTGCTCATGGATCTTAGCTAAGCAGAGGACGAGGGAGCAGGGCTTCGAGCTGCCGGGCAGCACACGAACACACGGCGATGTTTTGTCTATGGAGACACCCATCATTTACGGAACGGTTGCCCCCCTGCATAAGGCGCGTCAGGGTTCTTCAGGCCATCGCTTGAATGCCTACCAGTTTGGTTCGTCCAGGAGAAACGACACCACCCAGTAGGCGCGGGCGACCTACTGGGGAAGAACTGACTTCTGTTGAGCCTCTGGGAGGCATTGGTCAACAGGGTCCAGCCTCGAAGAGCTCCGTGCTCTTGAACACAGAACGTGTATGCAAGCCGGGCTTGCTGCTCGTGGAGGCGACCGCAAAGGGCTTCTAGAAGCCATGAAAGGTCCTCATCGATTCCGGGGCGTCGGGCAATTATGCTGAACTTGCCACGATGGAAGGGAGTCAGCTGAATGCTGAGGCGCCGATAGCGCGGTTGGGTGACATCGTCACTGTTCGCTTAGCGCGGGGACACATTCTACGGTCCCGAAGGTCACTCTGGACCTCGGAGTCCAGTTTCTTGACGTTGACAGCGTGGAACGCTGTCTGGTCTTAAACTTGGATGCATGGTATGACCTCATCCTAGGAATGGCATGGTTGGAACACCATGAGCCATGGATTGATTGGTAGTCAACGACCTTGGGCGCTACGCGCATGTCTCTTGGTGGAACTAGGGCGAGTTATGGACCCACTTCTGCTAGAAGACAAAAGCGCTATTGGCAAGAGCACTGGACCAATACGGCCAATGTGCTGGACATTGGAATCTCCGAGTTGGTAGACACCGACGGTGTATCGGACAGGTGTCCCGGGCGTGGCTCGCGGGCTGATCGTGGAGTGACACGTAACCCACTGAGCGCTGCTCAAGTTC